AACCCTAAATCCTAAACCCTAAAATCCTAAAACCCTCAACCCTAAACCCTAAACCCTAAAACCCTAAAATCCTAAAACCCTCAACCCTAAACCCTAAACCCTAAAACCCTAAACCCTAAACCCTCCCTAAGCTTTCAAAATCACCTTCGGCTTGGCCGTAACCGGTCTGAGGCCTGGGCCCGTGGGCCTTCCATCGTTGCAGCACCTGACTTAACCCCAATAGGTTTAGGGTTTAGGGTTTGGGGTTGGGGGTTTAGCATTTAGGGTTTAGGATTTAGGGCTTGGGGTTTAGGATTTAAGGTGTAGAGTTTAGAGTTTAGGATTTACGGCTTAGATTTAGGGTCTAGATTTGGGAATTAGGGGTCCAAGTCCTTAGGGTTTAGGAGTCGCGGAAAAAAATTGGAACATAGGAATGGCAGGGTCAAAGCTCCTGGTACCCCCGTAATAACTACAATAAGATTCCCCTATTCTTACCCTCTTTAAGGAGCTCAGACCCTGAAGCCTAAACCCTGCACCCTGAAACCTACAAAACCCCCTGTAAGGAGACTAGACTAGAGGTCATGTGTTTTTCGACATCCCTTTGCAGCTCTTCGGGGCAGGAGGGCAGTTGTGCTCCGGCTTTCTGGCTCCTGATGCAGTTCCTTGGGGTGAGTAGAGAATAAAAGGAGATGATTCAAGGTTTAGGGTTCAGGGTTTAGGGCTTAGTGTAGGGAATAAGGGAATGTGTCATATGTGGACGATATAGGCATTATGAAGTCCATTATTCCCTAGTGAGCATCAGTAAGGTAGTCCCAACTATATGCCAAGAAGAGACGGATCATGTTTGAGACCGTCTATAACAAAAACCATTATGTAGGTTTGATTTGAAGCTTTAGGGAACGATCTATGAGGCAATCGGTCGCATCATACCTCCAAAGTATAAAGAGCTCCTAACCATAATGTGAAACCGCCACCAGGTCTGCTGTTTCCAGTGCTGACATGTGGAGGTTGGTTTGAGAAGCCTCATGTGCAGGATGCAACAGGAAGCTTCGACTCCGCTGCCCTTTTCCTTCAAGGTAGGGCCCTTGATTTTGATCTTGAAAGATCGAGTGAGCACGGGAGCGAAAACAAGGTTTCGCAGTGACTCCTTTGGAGTAGCTGTTTTCCTTTGAACTCTGCTAGAGTTGTTCATGGTAGCGGAGCTGCTGAAGCAGCTCGTGAGAGAAAAGTGTCTGTGAAGATCCAGGGCTTGGAACTTTCCAAGCATTGAAGGAGCGAGGCTCCTTTCCTTGGTCAACATGGCCGCGGACAAGAGCGATCCCTTTCGTGACCTGTACTTTGGCGGCGTGACCTCCGAGTACCGGTCCTTTCGACGGAAGGTCTTGCTTCACATCGCGTCCCTGGAGACCAAGAATGTCAAGCTAGCCGGGCCGCGTCTCTTGACTCGCCTTACAGGAGAGGCCTGGAAAGCAACCGAGCACCTGTCCGTAGTCGATCTTCGTGGTGAAGGTGGCTGGCTTAAGGTGCTTCAGGCGTTGGACGCTCACTACAAGTACCTGCCGGAGACCGAGCTCAATGAGTGCGTGGACGACTTCCTGTTCTACCTCAAGAAGCGACCGAATGAAGGAGCCACAGCCTTCACTTCACAGTTCAAGGCAACACTGAGCCGCCTTGAGACGCTGGTTGCCGCGGACAAGGCTGCACGCAAGCAGTCCAAGGCACGACGACGTCGCCGTCGAGCAGGAGAACCTCGTCCGCCTTCCCCAGAGATTCCAAAAGCCCTTAAATCCAGGAACAGCCCTTAATTAAGGACAAAATCTTTAAAAAAGTCTTTAATTAAAGGCTTTTTCCTTAATTAAAGTGTTTTTGTCGTTTTTAGTCCTTAATTAAGGGGTTTTCCTCCT